TTGGGGTTTACAGTGATCTAATGTCACAATTTCCATTTTTTGAAGCTTCTACCATAGGATCTTTCACTTATTTAGTAGTTGATTAGTAAATTTGGTGTTAATTGAATGGATTTAAAAATAAACAATTATGGGCCGGGCAAGGTGGCTCAAGCCTATAATCCCAGCACTTTGGGAGGCCGAGGCGGGTGGATCACGAGGTCAAGAGATCGAGACCATCCTGGTCAACATGCTGAAACCCCGTCTCTACTAAAAATACAAAAAATTAGCTGGGCATGGTAGCGCCTGCCTGTAATCCCAGCTACTCAGGAGGCCGAGGCAGGAGAACTGCCTGAACCTAGGAGGCGGAGGTTGCGGTGAGCCGAGATGGCGCCATTGCACTCCAGCCTGGGTAACAAGAGCGAAACTCCATCTCAAAAAAAAAAAAAAAGAAAAAGAAAAAAGAAAATAAAAATAAACAATTGTGTTTATGGAAAATTCAGAAAACAGACATATGCCAATACTGACTTCCCACAAAGACTGATCACATCCACCCTCATTACCTAGGTTTATACAAATCATCCAAAGCAATAAACAGTGAGATGCTCTTCATGTTGTCTTTGTTTTGTGTTGCTTTGCTTTTCTTCTTTTTGTTTTGGCCAGGACTAGGAAGTCTACTTACATAGGGAGAGACAGTACCTGCTTTTAGGTTCTTATTGCCCCATTTTACTAGCTGAGATGAAGTAGCAGAATACACCGTTGGATGGGCTAGAACATGTTTGTCAGTCAAATCTCTTTTGTCCTTAATAGATGGCTGCCTGCTTTTTTGAAATGACCCAAAAGATGGGATTCCCTGTACTTTACTCCAAGCACGGCACTTATGGATTTACTCAGTTAAATCAATATGTCAGTAACAATTTCTCAGTAGTTACTGAAGACCTATTACATTCAATGTGCTATGTTAAGGGTTGAAATTAGCATACTTTTATTTTTATCTTGTATATTGAGACGGATGAACCTCAGAGTTCTATGTTTACCCTCTATATACATGCTTATCACTGTCTATTGCTAGAAAGGGAATGATATATCAAGAAACATATAACATGGTCTCATATTACTGATATCAAAATAAGGCACTGCAAGTCTTGGCACTGTTGGCAAGCTAAGAAGAGTTCAGAGGAGAGGAAAATTAGTAGTGAATCAGAGGGGAGTCTACTGAGGCAGAGGGCCTTTGGCTCAGCCCAAAAGACAGAAATGAAGCTCTCCAGCTCAGAGCTTCCCACCCACCCTCCTCTAAAATTTAGGGCACCCATCTTCCTCTAAAATTCTTACCATTCATGTGGAATAAATAAAATCAAGTAACAATCATAATGATATTTCAAATGTTGAAGATGTGTATCTTCAAAAAAGTCTAACTAAAAAACAACAAAATTAAGAACACATGTAGTTAGAATTTTAATGTTGAACTTAAAAATACCTTTGTCAAATACCTGATGTATATCTTAAGTCATAATTTTACTTGAAATTTACTTGCTTGAAGCAGGACTTCACATACGTTATTTTTTCTAACAATTAGTTCATGTCTCTAGAATCACTGTGTAGAATTTTCTTTTGTGTCTCACACTTTCTGTCGTGTAAGTACTCAATAAATCTTGGATGGATGGATGGATGGATGGATGGATGGATGGATGAGTGGATAGACAGACAGACTGATGGACAGATGGATAGGAGAAGGAAGAAAGGCAAGCAGGTAGGCAGGCAAGCCTGCCAGATATCACTTATTGTCTTGGAACAAGAAGTCAACAGCCCTTTTATGGATTCAGGAGTTTTGGATCCAGCTCAACTACCCATGTTCCTAGGGGCCGCTTTTCATGCAGATTGACAGCTTCCACAGGTAGCAAGGGGACCCATGACTTCACAGTGGCTGCTGAGCATGTGTTCCACCTGGTCTCACCCTCCTCGTATCTTCCCTGAAAAAGACTCCATAGCAGGGTTTGAGAAACACTGAAGATATGAGAGAGCACATGAAAGGCATTGTGATTTCCCCTTTGCATCTGGGAAAATGACTTTATTTAATTATTATTTATAAAGATTGGCTTTTTAAGTTAAGATAAGAAACCTCCCTTGGAAATTGATCTTTCCAATGATAATTTCTCAAATGAAAATACTCTAAGCACTAATGTAGAGGCTTGACTCTCTCTCTTGTTCATTCTTGCTCTCTTTATCAACAAGCATCTCTTTCCTGATATTTTTCAAATGAGATTTATAGACATGCTGCTAGCTTGCTAGAATGCACTATATTGTATTTTAGAGAAAAAGAAATCAGGAAGCCTCTTTACTTACTTTAATCCAGTTTCCTGGACTCATTTTTGATGAAGAGACTCACTTTGGACACTGTCCACTGTCACAGGTGGAGCAACAAATAGGAGAGGGTTTGTCACCCATGGGTCCTAAGTCAGCAGCTGAGGAGCACATTAGGGCATCAGCTCACCCTTATGGTTGTATCTGGAGGAATGTTTTATAAATTACTTCAGCAAGTTTTTATATTGAATGAGTGCCTAGCATTGCTCATGCTCTGCAAGTGATACAAATGAGAAACCAGAGATCATATTTGGACAGTTTATACCAAATTTAGTAGAGGTTATTTTTTTAATGCCAAGGTTCCAGTCTTAAAGAACCAGCTTTAATGTCTTCCATATCATGTGGGCATGAAAGACTCTAATCTTTAGGCTAGAAGGGATCTCAGAGTTGTATGGCACAGTCCACTTGTTTTGTAAATGAGGAAACTGAGGTCTAGAAAGAGAAGGTATTGGGCATAAACCATATCCACAAAACATCTGAAAGTCAAACTGAGCACTCTCAAACTTTTGCCCCTAATCTGTGGCTGCCTCTGTGACCTTGGGCAACGTATTTACCATCTCTGTAAGTCCGTTTCCCCATTTAAAAATAGTGATAATATTAGTTACTGCCTTCTATGGTTGTTAGGAGAATTGAAAAAGTTACTACATATAAGCTACATAATGCCTGGCATAAAGGCTGTATTCTAGAAGTATTCATTATTGTCATTATTATTTTTCAGTTTAAAAAAATAGATATATCAAAAAAATAGAGTCTTTCCAAGGCAGGTTTCTTATCTTGACTTTTAAAAACCAACCTTTATAAATAATAATTAAATAAAGTCATTTTCCCAGATGCAAAGGGGAAATCACAATGCCTTTCATGTGCTCTCTCATATCTTCAGTGTTTCTCAAACCCTGCTATGGAGTCTTTTTCAGAGAAGATACAAAGAGGGTGAGACCAGGTGAAACACATGCTCAGCAGCCACTGTGAAGTCATGGGTCCCCTTGCTACCTATGGAAGCTGTCAATCTGCATGAAAAGCGGCCCCTAGGAACATGGGTAGTTGAGCTGGATCCAAAACTCCTGAATCCATAAAAGGGCTTTTGACTTCATCTAGAAAGAAAAACTAAGTACCATACTAAGTGGCAGCATGTCTAATGGAAGACATTGGTGCAGATCCTGGCTTCCACACTAAGTAGCCGTGTGGCCTTGGGGAAGACATTCAACCTTTCTAAACCTCAATGTCATTATCTGTGCAATGAGGACAGTAGCACTCACTCTGCTTCCTGCCAGGTTATTTAAAAGTTCTGTTGAGATATTGGATAATAAAGCAAGTTATAAATTGCTAAGTACTGTACATGTCAGGAATCGTAGGGCAGAAAACCAGAATCAAAGCCAGAAAGCTCCAGGAGAGCGCTATCTGCAAGGAGCCAGAGCTGGAGCTGGTCCCAGGGTCTAAGAACGAGTCATGTGCCCTTGTTCCTCTCTGGTCCTTTCCTTGATTTCTTTCCTTTGTAGCTTGACTTGTACAATTTGGTGAGAAAGCTGAGACTTTTGAAAAGGGGATAGATAGGACGAGTTCACTTGCTCTGGGCCAAGTCTGACCTGGAGAAGAGAAGTTAATACTATTAAATAGATCAATACATCTGGTTCCACACCTTGCTGGCTGTAATGCAAAGGTATTTGGTGTCCCACTGGATGATATGTCAGTGGTACTTTGGCAGCTGAATGTGGTGTTATTATCTCCATAGTGTTCAAAATGTTTTTTCCTTTATACATTGGCAGTTGCCCAGGACAACTTCATTTTATTTTACGTATATTAAAAAATCTTTAGATTATGGAGGAACCAGAAGGCCTCATTTACAAATTAACTGCTAAAAACACAACTCATTATCATGAAGTACAATTTATCACAGAAAAAGATTCTTTTTCTCTTCATAATTTTATTTTTCAAACCTGTGAGTGGGGAAGGATGTCAGAGACTCCTGTTCTCCCTCATCCACATTTTGGGATTCCAGCAAAAATTACTGAAATTAGTGATCTAGGTAGGCTTAACTACACCAAAAGTATGCTTGTGCACAGGCATTGTAAGTACTAAATAATATACATTATAATAAACATAATTTCAAAAACTTGGCGGTCTCCATTTCCTCAGGTTCAGATCCCTTTTTAATCTGTTCTCTTATCTACCACTGGGATAGGTAACTAAGACAGTGTTCTACACATGAGTCACAAAAATAATCATTCTATTAATAGATAAAGGTGTCCAGTGGTCTACCACTGTTATGGAAGCAAATCCACACTCTTCAAGAAACGGACTCCTTTTCCATCTTTCCCCACCCACCTTCTCAATGTCATCTTCCAAATTCCAAACTATAGTGTTTCTGTCCTTAGGAAAGTGTCTTGAGTGTTCCTAGAATATGACATTCCATTTCTTTCTGATCCTATGCTTTCACCCACAAAAACATTCATTGTCTTCTATGTATTGGGTGCTATTAAAGATAGAAAGAAATAAAAACTCATAAGAAAACATAAAAGAACCTTGAAAACATATGCCAAGTGAAATAAGCCAGGCACAAAAGGAAAAATGTTGGATGATTCCATTTACATGAGTAGCCAAACGTGCAGAAACAGAAGTAGATGAGAGGTTTCCTGAGGCTGAGAGCAGGAGGAAATGGAGAGCTGTTTTTTTTTTTTCAAAGAGAATTTTAATGTGAAAAATTATCAGCAGAGATTCTGCCTTCACAATTAGAGTTTAACATAAGTCTTCCAGCCTTTAAAAAAGAGTTGTAATATACATAAGGGAAAATATTTTGGCATCATCTAGTGAAAACGGACTATGTGGTCTTTTTTCAGCCACCTCATATAATTAGGCTCCCAGTTACAATTTGAGATAAGTTGTTTCCTCAACAGAATGTGCTTAACAGAAAGTGACCAATTACTCCAAAGGAACTTGTTTCAGATTATCTTAAAGCCAGAGTTCACTGATCTCACATTTTATATTTAAAAAGAAAAAAGTTTGTTAGCTGTTTTAATCAACATAAGTAGTAACAAACATCCCTAACTGGATTCTAGAGAGGAAGCAGAAACAACCTGAGCCAAAGAGAAATAAAATTATCCCCTAAGGATTTGACTTTGGACTTCCACATAAACATGACCTTGTAGAACTAGATACATATTTTATCAGATAGGTAAATATGTAATATTTAGTGATTAGATCAAAATACATGAGCAGTCTTTAGCATTAATAATTTCATTAGTTTTAGGAAATCTTATCCAATATGGTCCTACATCTCTTAATTTCCTATATGCAGTGATTTTAGTTAAAATCCCAAAGGATATATATTTTTTTCTATAACATCTCCTTTTCTATCATCATACCAAAACAATTAGTATTCTCTTATTCAAGACTTTATATGTTCATTTATTCCCTACCCCTCCATCCTCACACACACAATAATTGCCCAGATAAATAGTAACCTGTGGTTTCCAAGTATCTCACTGGAATTTTCATTCTTTATGCCTTGCAGGATTAGTCTAAGATTTGAATACCCCAAACTTATTTGCCGAGAGCTACGTGTACTCTTAAAATTACTACCTGAAAATTATATTATTTAGAATCTGCCAATTCCCTAGATCCCCCCAAACAATTGTTTTGCTAATAAACTTCCTGAAAGCACACATGTATAAGTTTTATTACTATTAGAAAATGTTTCAAATGCTATTACATTTGATAGAACCATTCAGTTAACAAAATACTAAATGATAAGTTAAATTGACTGTTATAATTACTCAAAAACACAGTACACCACAAGAATTGTTTTGTACACTTCATTCTCTTCCAGTGGTTTTGTGGCTTACAGTGATAATCACATATATTAGTTCCCTGTAGCCTTTTTCATTTTGATCTTCGTTTGTAACAGATAACTGGGTTTTCAGGGGTGTGAATCATAGTCGTATAATTCACAGTGGGAAAGTATCCATCAATGAGATCAAATTCATATAAATGAAGCATAGTGGACCAAATTGTCTTAATTTGAACATAGGCAAAATTTCCCCTAATAAAACGATGACACCCAGCTCCAATGGCACATAGGCAAACTTTTCTCCTGATACTGGGTTATCCTGTAAGTAGCAATCAGGATTAAAGTCCAGACGTTCTACCCATGAGTCCTTAAGTCTTTGATTAACGGTGGGAGAAACACACACCTGATGTCCTGGAGGAATGGTACACCCTGCCACAGTCTGAGGAGTTTTAGCCATTCTCATCATGGTCATTTTAGGAGGTCTAAGTCTTAATGTTTCTTTTATACAGCCATCAAGTAAGTTTAGATCCTTGAGCTGGTCACAAGTTAAAGGAGGCAGATCCTCTCCACAGACTGTTTTCTGTTCTAAGTAACATTTTGCTTGAAGTGTTCTGTCTTTGGCCAAAAAGAAGCCCATCCCAGCACTAGTGGTTGAGGATGTACACTGCACTGCCAAGAGCGGTCCAATAAGCATCCCTGCTACTTCATCATCAGTTAAAGGACACCCATCCTTGTATGTAGAATCTAGTAAAGTTTGGAAAATGTCATCAATTTTTTCTTCAGACTGTCTGCATTTCTGGATTACCTTATAGAAAATATTCTTCATTTCCTGATGAGCTCTGTCCCTGTGTTTGAAACTAGGCAAAGGCAGCCAACCTGGTAACAGCCAGGCTGCACAGCTGAAACCTCCATCCAAATCCACATATAGCTGCGCCACCTCTTCATTGAGCTGACTTCTGATTTCCTTTCCATGCAAACAATGGCTAGCTGTTAAAAGTATGCGCTCAGAAAGAGCTTCAAACACATTTTTTTCTCCACTTTCTCCCCAACTCTGAAAGTATTCCTTCATTTCTTTTTCAATTATAGAAACATGCTGTTTAAAGTGGGCTATGTTAAGGCCACTTTTAAACATTTTCTTCTGCTCCAAGAAAACTGGATTAGGTACATCATATGCAACTCCCTTCCCAAACACAGGTGTTGTCAGGCGACCACAGACATCTGCATTCAGGTCTTCATTTTTACTATTAAAAAGCAGTGCAGAGGCATCACTTCCCAGAAGGTAAGTAAACGTTTTGCCTACCACGGTAAAACTAAATACAGGTTCATACTTCTCATATGCATTTTCTAGAAATTCCGTTGGACTTTTCCCAAATGTTATCGAATGCCCAAGGAATGGAATCAGGGAGAAAATGTATGGAAGACTTTTCGCCCCTACTGGCAGCTGGACCAGGTGGCCAGCGGCGAGATGGAACAGGTAGACCAAGCTGAGGGTGAAGGCACAGGTGATCAGCAGCATGGACAGGAGTTTGCCGCCTGTCACCTTCTCCATTGCCTGACCCAGCACCGACCCGCCCACCTACAGCAAGCCCAGCAACATCATCCTGGCTGCCGCACTTCACTTTGCCGGAGACACTGGAGGCCGAGGTCACCACTGCTCCTCCTAATCGACAGAGCAAGAGAAGCTGGCAGATGGGCATCTACAGGTGGCCCCGGCCCCCAGTTCTCCTACTAAACCCAGCCCCAGCCCTCGGATCCTATGTGCACCACTCTGTGCGTCCGGAGAGCTGCTGTTTAATGGGTACAGCGTTCGCCTGGGATGATGCAAAAGTTCTGGAGATGAATGGTGATAACGGTTGCACAACAATGTGAACGTACTTAATACCATCTTGACAAAGAAGTCAAGATTGTAAACTGTGTGTTACTTATATATTACCACAATCCATTTTTTAGAGCATAACAAGAAAAATGAATAAGACATAACGTCTGTCCTCAAAGAGCTCACTGTTGAGTTGGAATGAGCAGAAAACCTTAAATCAAAATGGCAGATGCAGTAACACAGAAGCCTGGGAGACTCAGTCTGGTGTGAGGGAAGTTTCCTGGAAGAGGGGATGCCTGGTCATGTCAGTTAAAAAGGTGGAAGAGCAAGTCAACCAGGCATATGGGGATGTCTGGGATGAGATAAGTGACCAGATAAGGTGTGGAAAGAGGAGCCCCAGAGAAGGCAGAGGAGGGGGAGAAAGCTCAGGGTTTGTGTGGGGAACTCACTCATCTTAGTGCTGCAGAAACAGGCAGAGTGGCAGACGTGAAGCAGCAGTACTTATAAGTTTTTGCTTATGGTATCATTTCCACGACGATGTCCTTTCCCAACTGGACCCTGCTCCTCGTGTCATTGAGGCAAATCTGAATCATCTTCCCCAAATCAGTGCGGGGGCCATTTTCTCTATGAAACGTTCTCTTCCCAAGGTGACTTACAATTATCTCTCCTTTCTCTAAACTCTCATTTCTCTGCTACCATTTTGCTCCTAATCATATACTATTTCCGGGTCTAATTTTCCCTCACCTGTATTTTGAGGCCCTTGAGGGCAGAGACCATGTATTTTTTTTCCCCTTGCAGGACCTAGCAGGCAAGATTAGAAATTCTTTCCAATAAATGTTTTTTGGAGTCAAATTCTTCCTGAATTTCCAACTACCAGTGTCTTAGAAAATAAAAATGAAACACAAAAGCAAATTCTACAGAAGAAATGTTTCTTCCTAAGAAGGAATTCATGTATGATAAAGAAGTTCAGGAACATGAGGCTGTTCAAGATCTCCAAACCTCAGAGTTACCCAGAAGTCAAGTAAGTATTTTCTCTGTCATCACAGAAAATCAGCAGTTCCACATCCTGGAAGTTGACGTACTATCCGTATAGAGACAAGCAAAATGGGCTTTTGGCTTAATAGTCTCCTGTTAAACACCAGTCTCCTAAGGGCTATATTGGGAAAAAATTTAGTGCACTAAAGAAGTATAGACCTAGAGTTAGAAGGTATGGTTCCTAGCCTTTCTTTTGGTGGTATTGTGTGGATTTGGGCAACTAACTTAATTCTTCTTTGTCATTTTTCTCCTTAGTATACAATATAAATTTATATATATGTTTGTAGATAATCTTATTCCTTTATATAATATGTAGCAGGTAAGCAAATTAAACTACAGAATTAAAAGTGGAAGGGAAAGATGACCTAATTTTTCACTGACCTTTACTGATAATTATTCACATACTTAAATCACAGGATACTACAATGCCAAGGTTGAGAAGATGTCTTTTCATATTGTGTGGAGGATGGTTCTCACTGTCCACCAAAATTCAAACTTCTCTCCCACAATGTACAGTAACCACTGGGAAGCGGCTTCTTATCCAGAGGCTACATTTCTCAACCTCCTCTCTGCAGCTATGGGCCACCATGTCACTAGTTCTTCTTCATGGAATGGGAGCAAAAGAGATGTGTCAGGTCCAGGCCAAGGCAGTCAAGAAGGCTATATCCTCCACCTTCACTTTCCTCATCCTAAAGCTAGATGCAGAGGACTTCAAGGTTGCAGGGGATTACACAGCCACAGAAGGAAGGAGATTGGTTCCCTGTATCTCCATGTGGAATAGAGTCACCATCAACAAAGAATACCAGCAATGGACTAAAAAAATAATTTTTTACATACTGTGTTCAGTCAGTCAAATTTGAGGAATTTGGTAAAGTAGCTAACATTACTTTCTAACGTAGTATGCAGATATGTTTCCTTTCTTTCTGTACCATACACACACACACACACACACACACGCACACATTCATTCCACAAATGGAACATCACTGAAAAAATTAAACAAACAAACATACTGTAGTTGTTATGGCTAATCATAATTTCTACTGCATTTCAGAGGATGTTTAAATTATTTAAGTTTGGTAAACTTATATTTTTAACATTATAAATATTATTATTTATTTTCATTTATATACATTAGCATTACTAATCAGCCACTCATCTAGCACTTTACTGAGGACTCATGAAATGTATTTATATCAAAACATTGGAAGTCTACATGGTAGATGATGCATTTTTGTACGTGTAAAGAAACACAAATTGGAGGACAGAAAGCATGTATCGTCACAGAAACAGATGTGCTAACACAGAAAAAAATGTACATCTACCCCACCATTGTGTACAAAGCATGGGTGAAAAACAAATTCTGATAGAAACCTAATCCAATTACTAAGTGTCAGTGTCATATGCTAATATTAAGGTATATTAAACTAATATAGATATTGGGACATGCACAGAACAATCCCCTTACTTGCCATGAGATCCCAATGATCTGCAGACAACAATGTCATAATATATTAATTGATTGTAGACAGAAAGTAACAAGGTTCAACACTTTTTACTATTTAGACCTTAAGCCAGTCTACCTATATTTCAATTGTAGAAAAATATCAGTAACCAATCTGATTCTGTGTTGATTATTACATTTATTTTATTTGCTTGTATGAACCATTTAAACATGAAATGGTTTTAAATATTATGATTTTGTAATACTTTTGAAGTTAATATTTTAGGTTCAGAGGTAACTATAAATGCCATAATGTAAACACTACAATTTTGGGGGGAATTATTGAGAAAGACAGCAGAAGAAAATTGTAGTTATGAAACATGAATGTGTGATATTCACAAAACATTTATTACACTTGCGCTGGATCATCTTGTTTTTGATTAAGACATGTTTTTGAAGTTTTTTATCAGCTAGACAATACTTAGAAGAGTAACAGAATGTGATGTTGATGTTGGGTCTGCTTACCAGGCCTTAAATGTCATTTTTGAAGGCCTTAAGTGGGCAAGATCCAGAGAAAACAGTAATCAAATAAAAATATTCCTACTTAATTTACATGGACAAAATAACTCTGTCTACATAGACTTAATAAATTAAGGCATGCATTCTAATTCAAGAATCTCATTTTATGAATCTTTCTGGAGCTGAATATCCAGCTAGAAAATGCATTAGGATATTCAGAAACACATATATCATCTTTATAAAGGTATGATTCCCCATGCCACTATGTAATCTTTTTAAAAAGTGCCTTTATCATCCAAGTCCTCAGTTTTGTAAAACGTATTAGTGAAATTCCTAACCAATGTGCTTGGCTTTATTGTTTGGAAAATAAAATGAAAAATATATATATTCACTGGAAACTCACATACAGATGCAAACATATTCTTTTGGGCGGAGTTTGTTTTAACATTCATTTTAAGTTCTGGAATACACATGCAGGATTCTCACATAGATAAACGTGTTATGGGGGGTTGTTGTACAGATTATTTCAACACCCACGTATTAAGACTAGTGCACATTAGTTATTAATATTTTGCCTGATCATCTCCCTCCTCCCACCCTCCACCCCCCACCCTCCAAAAGGCCCCAGGGGTTGCTATTTCCCTCTATGAATCCACAAACATACTTTCTTTTTTTTTTTTTTTTGAGACGGAGCCTTGCTCTGTCACCCAGGCTGGAGTGCACTGGCACGATCTTGGCTCACTGCAACTTCTGCCTCCCGGTTTCAAGTGATTCTCCTGCCTCAGCCTCCCAAGTAGCTGTGATTACAGGTGTCTGCCACCGTGCCCAGCTAATTTTTGTATTTTTAGTAGAGATGTATTTTCACCACCTTGGCCAGGCTGGTCTCAAACTCCTGACCTCATGATCTACCTGCCTCAGCCTCCCAAAGTGCTGGGATTACAGGTGTGAGCCACCGCACCCGGCCGAGTCCACAAACATATTCTTTAAAGCTGGGGTCCCCAACCCTGGTTAGGAACTGGGCCACGCAGCAGGAGGTGAGCACTGGGTGCATTAGTGAAGCTTCATCTGTATTTATAACTGCTCCCTATCGCCCGAATTATTGCCTGAACTCCACTTCCTGTCAGATCAGTGACAGCATTAGATTCTCATAGAAGCACAAACCCCACTGTGAACTGCGCATGTGAGCAATCTAGGTTGCATGCTCCTTGTGAGAATCTAACGCCGGACGATCTGTCACTGTTTCCCACCACCCCCAGATGGGACATCTAGTTGCAGAAAAACAAGCTCAGGGCTCCCACTGATTCTACATTATGGTAAGTTGTGTAATTATTTCATTATGTATTACAATGTAATAATAATAGAAATAAAGTGTGCAATTAATGTAATGTACCTGAGTCATCCTGGAACCAGTCCCCAGCCCCCGCACTGGTCCATGGAAAAACTGTTTTCACAAAACCAGTCCCTGGGGCCAAAATGGCTGGGGACTGCTGCTTTAAAACTATCTTAAGTTTAGGCTTTTAATTCCACGGACTCCTGAACTAAACCCAAACAACCGGCAAGGGAGATAATATTTGCACTCTTTGCCTTATTGGGGGAAGGATATACATATATATAAAGTCCAAGTAACAAAGCAATAGACGCTTAAAAGTTAAAAGATAGATATGGCATACTCTTTAACACTAATAATCCAAACGCCTTATAAAAATAATAACAGCATACAAAACGGAAAATTCTTAAAAGTGCCATCAACCAGAGGAATATTACATTAACCACCCAAAGACTTTGGTGAGCCAGGTGCGGTGGCTATGCCTGTAATCCCAGCACTTTGGACCCAGGCTGAAGGATGAGAAATAAGCTGTGAGGAAATGTAAGTCATCTGCCTGGAAAAGACCAAGATCTCAGAGTAGGAATCGTTTTCTGCAGGAGAGACGGGTGGGGCAGCTGTTGTAACCAATCTTTCTAAAATAAAGCCTGCCATGCAAAACGGAACCTGGTGGATCACCTGAGGTCAGGAGTTCAAGACCAGCCTGGCCAACATGGTAAAACCCCATTTCTACTAAAAACACAAAAATTAGCTGGGCATGGTGACATGTGCCTGTAGTCCCCACTACTCAGGAGTCTAAGGCAAGAGAATCACTTGAACCTGGGAGGCAGAAATTGCAGTGAGCCAAGATCGCCACTGCACCCCAGCCTGGGTGACACAGAGCGACTCTGTCTCAAAAGAAAAAAAAACTTTGGTGAATTCCTGGAAGACAGATGATTGCTGGTGGGTGTAGTAAGAGGAGATAGAGTATCTGAATGAAACTCAAGCACAGCAGAGACCACAAGCGTGAGAGCCACTGTTCACAGCAAAGCCCATGTGAACCCAGGCTGCACGATGAGAAATAATTTGTGAGGAAATGTAAGAGATCTGTCTGGAAAAGACCAAGGTCTCAGGGTAGGAATACTTCCCTGCAGAGGAGATGAGTGGGAGAGCTGTTGCTACCAATCTTTCTAAAATAAAGCCTGCCATGCATAAATGGCCCCATGCCTGCATGCACACACATGCACGCGCACTCACTCACACACATACTCCGTGGGCATACAACAAAAACTGACAGACAGAGAAAGAGGAAAAGAGAAGGGAGAGAGCAAATGATCCATATTCTTTAAGCTTCATAGCAAGATGTCAAGACATTCTGCTTGAAATTGATAAACCAAGAATAAGAGCCATAGGCAAATCATTAGAATTATAAGAACTGGTCAGAAATGGTTTCCACTAATGAAGACACAGAAGAGATATGGCACGAATAGGGACTTGACACTGTTTCATTTCATATCCAACTACACTTGAATTATTTCGCTTCGTGCACATACCTAATGAGTTTTCAAAAATAGATCTAAAACAACGAATTAGTCCACAAAACATGCATTATGCTCACCAAATGTACATTTTATTGCCCACTTTTATAATCTTACTGAGACAAACTGGTTTCTCCATACCAAGTTGCCTGGGGGATGCTGACAGGCACAGGAGAATAGAAGTTTAATTCAACATAAATGGTTATCTCTGGGGAGGAGGAAAGTGACACCTTGTTTCTCCACTAAGTGATGGTGTGTCACAATACACAGAAAAAGAAAAGCAACAATGCCTTTATTTAACATTTTGACAGTTTGCTCGTCACAAATTTTTGCACTAATTTTGCTTTTTTAAAATATCATATTAAAGTATTACCTCTCGAATTCGATTTTTTTCTTAAATTTTGTGTCAAAACCAGTGGCTCATTCACCTCACAAACCTCACACCAGTCCTGGCTCCGTTATGAAGTTGGGGAAGGACAGTCACATTCCCTCCATACCATGCCTTCTCCACATAGCAGCACTGAGCTGCTCTTCCAAACCACACACATCAAAACACAACTGAAAATTAGGAAATGAAGAACCTTATCAACAGATTAACTTATTGTGTCTAATGTCTGAGGCAGGCATATACCCCACTTAAAAAGCTATAACAATTGAGCCAGGCATGATGGCTCACGCCTGTAATCCCAGCACTTTTGGGGGCTGAGGTGGGTGGGTCACCTGAGGTTAGGAGTTCAAGACCAGCCTGGGCCAACATGGTGAAACCCTTTCTATATTAAAAATAATAAAAGTTAGCCAGGCGTGGTGGCACACACCTGTAATCCCAGTTACTTGGGAGGCTGAGGCACAAGAATTGCTTGAACCTGGGAGGCAGAGGTTGCAGTCAGCCAAAAACATACTACTGCACTCCAGCCTGGGGGACAGAGTGAGATTCTGTCTCAAAATGAATAAATAATTAATTTTTAAAATATTATAAAGATTGCCCTGTTTGACATAGTATAAGGCTCTTCTGGCTGGTTGTTTTTTGTTTTTTTTTTTGTTGTTTTTTTTTTTTTTTTGCTTATTACCCGATTTATTAGAGAGAGCTCTCTAACATAAAAAGAGAGGGTGTGGTGGGGATGGGGGGCGGGGGACCCGGGCTGCATACCAGTGTTGTCTGGGGCCAGGAGCTGCTGTATGGTTTCAGAGGCGCCCACGGCTCTGGGTTTGAGGGACACAGCACCCTCGTCTCTGTCACGAGGCGCAGCGCTTCGGATTGTCACGCACCAGACCACGGGGTGGAGCAA